ATCACAGACACGACTCACACAACCGGCACACACAATCTGAAAATATCGGAAGACGAATAGACACGTATACAATAACGATTCAACAATCACAACGTGCAATTGATCAAGAATCAAGAAGCGAATTCACCGTGGGGTTGTGAGGGTTTTGGACTCATGAATCCTCGCTCAAACTCTCGGTTAAAACCTGATACAACAACAAACGAAATCAGAAGTATCGACAATTCGTTTTGAAACAATTTTCGGTTTTGATATTTAAATGAAGTCGAAATGAAACGAAAACAATAACAAGGATAGATCTCACCCGGGGAACGTCCTATGGCTCGAGCAAGCTTTGATACCAAAATGATGTACGCACGAGGAGGATGGGCAAGGGGAGTTCAACCGCAATCACCGGCTCACGAGCGTGGCTCTCGAATTCGCGGAGGAACAAGGGTAATCGAAGTGGCTTTGCGGTGAAACGATTCCAATCACCGGCTCACGAAAAGTGGCTCTCGAATTCGGAACGTTTCAGAAGAATGGAGATGGAGATCGAAGGGAAGGAACCTCGGACAAACCAAGGGAAAGAGCCGGAACAAACGAGCTCGATGGATGGCCGGCGGATGTTGGATTTCCTGGGATCTCATGAGCGAATCCTATTCCTAAGAGATCGATTCTAGGGTTTGCGCAGCGGATGTAAAACAAAAATTTAATAAACCCTAGAACCATGCTTCTATGAATCGTAGAAATGCTAGAACGCTTGCCTCAATCGATCTGGGGCCTGTATCAATCGAAGAACACGTCTGATCACGAAAGGGAGGAAGATTACCTCTCCCTCTACACGTATCCAAACCTCGGGATGGATTCCAACGGTTGGAACTTGTATGCTAGGACCCGAATCTGCTATTCGGTTATATGCTTCGAGAAAACGGACTTCGACGACACTCTCCTCCTCTTGGATCTCACCAAAAGTCTCTCAGAAGTGTTCTGAAGTCGGCTCACCTTAATTAGGGTTTTTTCTCCTTCTTATAAAGCTATTTAACCCTAATCTCGGTTTAATTTTGGAAAAACCCGAAGCCTGGAACGGACGGTCCAGAAATGCACGTGGACCGTCCGC